GGGGGGGGGGGAGAAGTAAAATTTAACAAATATTTATAAACAATATGAAAATTATGCTGAAATGCCTCAGATTTTAATTAATATAAGATAATATATAAGATAAATAGATCAATGTCTTTGTAGTACATATACAGCCTCTAAGAATGCTGAGAAACTGGGCACCGGTGGCTCACGCCTGTAATCCTAGCTACTCAGGAGGCTGAGATCTGAGGATTGCGGTTCAAAGCCAGCCCAGGCAGGAAAGTCTGTGAGACTCTTATCTCCAGTAAACCACTCACAAAAACAGAACCCACGACTGACCAAAAAAAAAAATGCAGAGATGCTTAATAGAATATTCATAGAATTTTTATTGTTTCTGCTGGGCGCTGGTGGCTCACGCCTGTAATCCTAGTTACTCAGGAGGCTGAGATCTGAGGATCGTGGTTCAAAGCCAGCCTGGGTAGGAGAGACCTGAGACTCCTATCTCCAATAAACCACCAGAAAACCAGAAGTGGCGCTAGTGCCCAGGCCCAGAGTTCAAGCCCCATGACCGACAAAAAAAAAAAAAAGAATTTTTATTTTTTCTAATTAAATTTATATTAAATAATTTGTGAAAAGGTAGTATTATCTGTGTGTGTGTGTGTGTGTGTGTGTTTGTGGGTCGTGTGGTATGGGCTCAAGCAGCTTTTCAGCTCAAGGCGAGCGCTTTACCACTTGAGCCACGGTGCCACTTCTGCCTTTTTCTGCTTATGTGGTGCTAAGGAATCGAACCCAGGGCCTCATGCATGCAATGCAAGCATTCTACCACTGAGCCACCTTTCCAGCCCTGGTAGTATCATCTTTTGTAAAAATATAAATATGTAGCTAAAACTCAGGAATAGGTGGAACAGGTTTTCTCCATCAGACTCATTCAACTTATTTCCCACACCACTACTAAACTTGTTTGCTTGATATCCCTTACTTAATCTTTTTCCTTGCATTTCTTTATCTGCTAAATGGCTACAAAGTAGAATCTACCTCACAATGTTGTTGTGACCATTAAATGAGTAAACATAAGTGTCCAGCAGTAAATACTCAGTACTTCTGATTATTAGGAATATGTCATCATTTTATCACTTCTTTACTAAAAACCTATCACTTTGTCATTATTTATTTACTAAAGGAGGGCATTCCACTCTTCACTCTTATCTTCATAGTTTTCCCTTGGTGTTAGTTGTAGGTATTTCCCTTTCAGGGGTGGGGAATCCTTTTTCTGCCAAGGTTCATTTAGATATACATAGCTATGGGCTATACAAAATTGTCAGTATAGGCCTACTGCCCGTAGGCAGGCAAAGAGCATTGCAGGTCATTAAGTGTCTGTCTGGTCAAGTACCAAATGGTGTCGTCGCAGGCTTTATACAGTTCACAGGCAGGAAGTTCCCCAGTATTTACCAAGTCCACAGTAGGCATTCAAAAGTAACTTACTGAACAAAGGTCCTTTGAGAGAGGAAAAACTATAGAAAAGATTATAAATCACTACGTAAAGTTTAAGTATTAGAACGTCTAAATGAGTATTTACAAACCCTTTGCAAGAGGAACTGGGCCTTACTCTCTAAGTGAAACTTTATTGGAACACCCATTTTCATTGCTTTTCACTGACGTCACTCGATCACTGACCTCTGACGCAAAGAAGGCGGGATTAGGGAGACAGCTGGACTTCTTCCTCGCTCTGCCTTCCTTGGACTCGCTGGCACAGTACAACTGCCTGGCCCCCTGGCTGACTTGGTGTTTCCATTGGTCAATCTTTCCATGGAGGCGGGGGATGACTTGACTCCGCCCACACAACGGGCGTGGCTTCCCAGCCCTTGGGCCGGGCTGGAGTGTGTTCGGGGTGGGGGGTGGGGGTGGCGCGTCCGCCATCTTGGGTTCCGCGGTAGCGGTGGCTGCGGTGGGGCGCCGCTTCTGGGGAGTGGCTCATCCCTCCCCCTCCCCCCACCACGGCTCGGTGGCGGCGGCTCCTCCCACTGGGGGGAGGAGGTGGCGAGGTGGAGGTGGCATCTAGGCCATGGCGGCGACTGCTGCTAACCCGGGTGAGGAGACGGCGGGCCGGAGAGCCTTTAAAGGGGGAGGGGCTGGAGGGACTGACAACCGGGGAGACCGCGGGCTGCGCGTCGGCGGCGGGGG